TCCTCCATCTCCCCTCAGGTGGGATGCCGCCGACCCCTCAGGCGGTCCAGATCGCCGGGCAGAAACAGAGCCAGCAGCAGTACGACCCGTCCAGAGGACCGCCGGTGCAGAACGCGGCCAGCCTGCACACGCCGCCGCCGCAGCTGCCTGGCAGACTGCCCCCCGGTGGCCTCCCCATGGCGGGGCTAACGTTGACGCTTCCTCAACAGGCTCAGTTAGTGGAGAACACAGCGCCGCCCGGTGGCCAGCTCCAGGTCAAGGTGCAGGCCAACGTCCCGGTGCTGACCGGTCACACTCAGCTCCAGGCCCAGCAGCAGCAGATCCAGTCCCAGGCCGTCCTCCAGGCCGGACAGGCGGTCAGTGTCCACCGATGTCCAACCGACGTCCAACCACGTTCTCTGTCGTATGTATTTGATTTTTTTTTTTTCTTTTCGCTCCTCTCCCGGACACAGACCGTGGCTCTCGCTCGTCCAGAGTCCAACCAGCCGCTCCAGAAGATCCTGACCAACTCCGTGTCCATGCCGACGGTGTCCCCCGTCCCCGTCCCGGTCCCCGTCCCCCTCCCGGCTCCTCACTCTTCTCTCCGACCGCTGAGCACGAACGTCCACTCCAACACGCCGTCCAAGCTAACCGGGACCAACGGCGTGTCCGGCGCAGCGGCCGGCGCCTTCGCTCAGAGCAGCACCCTGACGTCGCCACCGGAGGGCGCTCCGGACAAACAGGTGGAACAGTCCAAGCTGGTGAGCGGGAACGGGAACGAGACGGGAAAAAAAACAAGTCTCTCGGTTCGGTTCGTTTTGATCGGATTCTGATTTTTTTTTTGTAGGAGGGTCGCATCTCCGAGCTCAGGAAGGACGGTCAGTGGTCGGCCACTCGGCTGCCCAAGCTGATGGAGGCGCTGCGCCCCAAGTCGCACTGGGACTACCTGCTGGAGGAGATGCAGTGGATGGCCGCCGACTTCGCCCAGGAGCGGAGGTGGAAGGAGGCGGCTGCCAAGAAGGTGGACGCAAGAAATGAAAAAGTCCGACGTCGGACGAACGACCGACCGTTGTCGCGGCTTTGATGTTCAACCTCTCTGGTCTTCTTCTCCCTCCCGACAGCCCGTCCGCACCTGCCCGTCGCCATCACGAGAAGAGTCGCAACAAGGAGCGGTTGAGGAAAGAGGAGGAAATGAACCTGCGACTCATCGCCGCCACCATCGCCCGAGAGGTGGAGTTCTTCTGGTCCAACATCGAGCAGGTACGATCGCGGTGGTTCGTAACGTAACGGCTCGTTTCTGGGAAAATTCCCTTGAATTTTCTCTCTGGGTTTTTGGGTTTTTCTCAGGTTGTGGAAATTAAACTGCGGTCGGACGTTCACGAGAAGAAGCTGCGAGCCCTGCGTTTGCAGAGCGCCACGTCCAAAGGTTGGTCCCGGTCGGAGTCAGAACAGCTTCCTCATTGGTTGAGGAGGTTTTTGGTGAATCTTCTCTGTCATGTTGAACTCCGTGAACTTTGTGTTTCTCCAGCGCGAGGTTCGGCGACAGGAGAGAACGCTGGCAAAGATGTGAGTGATGTTTGACACTCTGACCTCTGACCTCAGTCTGACCTCTGACCTCAGTCTGACTTCTGGCCTCAGTATGACCTCGGTTTGGCCTCTATCCGACCTCAGTCCGACCTCAGTCTGACCTCAGTTTGACCTCTGTTTGACCTCAGTCCGACCTCAGTCCGACCTCAGTTTGACCTCAGTCCGACCTCAGTTTGACCTCAGTCCGACCTCAGTTTGACCTCAGTCCGACCTCA